GGCAGGAAGTCAAATGTCCTCAGGTATAGGCAGGAAGTCAAATGTCCTCAGGTACGGACAGGAAGTCAAACGTCCTCAGGTACAGAAAGGAAGTCAAACGTCCTCAGGTACAGACAGGAAGTCAAATATCCTCAGGTACAGACAGGAAGTCAAATGTCCTCAGGTATGGACAGGAAGTCAAATGTCCTCAGGTATGGACAGGAAGTCAAACGTCCTCAGGTACAGACAGGAAGTCAAATGTCCTCAGGTACAGACAGGAAGTCAAATGTCCTCAGGTACAGACAGGAAGTCAAATGTCCTCACATCAAATGTTGTCTCTATAACCTCTCAGGATCGTGGTCTCTATAACCTCTCTGGATCGTGGTCTCTATAACCTCTCTGGATCCTGGTCTCTATAACCTCTCTGGATCCTGGTCTCTATAACCTCTCTGGATCCTGGCCTCTATAACCTCTCTGGATCCTGGTCTCTATAACCTCTCTGGATCGTGGGTTCTACAAGCTTCTAGTTATTCATTCCAGTTTTCATCTTTACTAACATGATGGACTGAGAATGGGAGATTCAGATGACTGAGAAAAGTGTTTTACAGAACATCCCAAGATTCTTCATGAGGTTCAGGTCTGGACCAGGTCTGGACTCTGWTCGTTCTGTTCTGGTCTTGTCCTTCTGGAACTTGACTCTAASCTCGGGGAAGAACAACCCATTGAARGTCTGACCTGGTTCTTCAGTATCCAGGTGGTCAGCTGACCTCACTCTTCGGTCTGAACCTGGACCAGACCACCTGACCTCACAGACTGGACTGCAGGATCTAGACACGATGGAGGATCACTTCAGCTAGTCTTGGTTCTCCATCAGTCTGAACAGGATCAGTCTGGACTCATCAGAACTTCTTCTGTTGCACGGTTTCTAAGCCGGACCTGGTTYATTCTGCTGAAACAAAAGATCTCTTCCTCGACCACAGGAAGAGTCCTGAGACATGAGGACCTGCTCTGCGTCACTTTGTTAACCAGAGAGGCTCAAACCTGTTGGTTAGTTAAAGTTACCATCATTTGGTCCAGGCAGAGAATAAAAATCTGTAAATATTAAATATTAAACAAAAAGATTAAAAAATAAAATGTTTCAAATCTCATGATTTAATTGAACTTAATACAGAAAGAGACATAAATCAGATTTCTCTCTTGGCTTTAACAAAATTAAATGTATACAAAAAAATTATTTAATAAATAAAATGAGATGATCAAAAATTAAACTTCATTGATTTTATTCTTCTCATTTACAGGCCAAACAACAGGAACCCAAGAAAAGAGCACACCAATGAGTCCTGTGATGACATCTATGACACCAACCTGGACGACCTCAGGTAGGGAAAGAAAGTCAAACTATATTTCTGATTAATCAGGTGGGAAGTTTTAGGAAAAACTAGAACTCCAAAATGTACAGGCCAGGGCTCTGCAGTTTACACTCATCTACAGGCCAGGACTCTGCAGTTTACACTCATCTACAGGTCAGGGCT